ATTGCTTTTTAAATTTAGGAAAGTTAGGAAAGTTAGCTTTCTAAAGTAATTTAAGGAAAGCTAGGAAAGCTAGCTTTTTATTATAATTTAAAATATATAACTAAATATATAAGTTTATATTTATATTACTTATTTAAATAACTTAAATAGTTAGTTATAAATAATAATGTTTAGATTAAATTTATTTAATATTTTTTATTAATTAGTAATATTATTATTTATATTACCTAAACGTTTAGCTTAGTTTATCCGCTAATATAAACTAGAATCTAAGTTTATCCCTTAGAAATCCTAACCTATATTAACCTATAGGTTTATAATTCGTTATAAACTTAGTAACTTAAATATTTAATAAAATAAAAAAGCTATAATAAAACAGAAAACTTATAAAAGTTTATTAAATATTTTAAATATTTAAAAAACTTTTTTAATAACTTTTACTAAAAACTAAATTTAATAAAAAAAAGTTAAAAATATTTTATTTAATAATATTAACTATAAAACCTAAGATTATAAAATTAATTAAATTAAATAATAATATTATAGTTTAATAAACAGCCTTTACTTTTTATACTTTATATTCCTTATATTTAATTTATTTTAACTTTTTTAAATTATTAATACTATAAATAATTATTTACTTTATTTTTTTAAACTATTTATATTTATAAATATAAAAACGCTTTATATAAATACAAACTTTAAATTATATTTCCTTTACTTTTTTTAACTTTTTATTTAACTTTTAATAATAAAATATAATTTTATATATTTATTATAAAATAAAACTAAATATTTTATAATATAATTTTTAATTTCATATATAAAAAACATTAATAAAAATTTTCTTTAAAAATAATATATTTATAATTTTATTTTTTATAATAAATATATAATTTTATAATAAAAATAAAAATTTTTAATATAATATTAATAAAACCTTTATATTTTTTTTTATTTAAAAATACTATTATTATTATACCTTTACTTATAATTAATTATAATAATAAAATAAAAAACTAAAAAAAAAAAAAAAAGTTAAAAAATATTTATTAAAAAATAAAAGTAAATATTTATATATTACTTTAATAAAGTCTTAAGGATAAAACTAATAAAAAAGGAAAATTATATTATAACTTAGCTTTTACAATTATAATAATAAACCTATAAAATAAGTAAAAATAAATTAACTATAAATTAATTAGTTAATTAACGCTATTACTTATTTAAATAGCTTAAATAATTAGTTATAAATATAACGTTTAAATTAAATTTATTTAATACTTTGTATTAATTAATAATTATATTAATTATATTACTTAAACACTTAGCTTAGTCTATTTGCTAATATAAACTAAAATTTAAGTTTATTCTTTAAAAATCCTAACTTATATTAACCTATAGGTTTACAGTTTATTATAATTTTTTTTATAAATTTAATTTTTTTTTTATTATATATATATTTTTTATTTTTTTTTAATTTTTTTTTATATATATTATATATTTTTATATTTAAAAATAATTAATTTTTTTAATTTTATTTTATTTTATTTTATTTTTTTATTTTTATATATTCTTTTTAAATATATATGTTTTTTATATAAATTTAATTATATAATTTTTTTTTTTATAAAAATAAAAATAAATAAAAAATAAATAAAATAAAAAGTAAATAATAATATTATTATTTATATTTATATTTTTATTTTATTATTTATATTATAATATTATTTTTATCTTTTATTTTTTTTACTTTAAAGTATTAATTATTTATTAAATTATATAAAGCCCCCTATATATATTAAGCTATACCCTTTTATTTTTATACTTTAGTATATATACAGGCTTTATTTTTATTAAGCTATAGGCACAGCTTATTGTAGAATAACAAAATAGGATTTTATTAAGCTATAGCTATAGCTTAATGTAAAATAATAAAATAGTGTTTACGCTATAGGCCTACTATTGCAACTATAAAAACTAAGTCGTAATAACTTTAATATTATAAATTAAAAAAAAATACTAAATAAATTACATTTTTAATTATTAAATATATAGTTTCTTTTAAAAAAAACTTATACTTAATAATCACTAAGTATATATTAACCCTATAGCAAAAGTATAAAGGGTGTAAAGGGTGTAAATCTTACAGTAGTCGTCGCTGGGCCAAATAGAGTCGTACGCTAACAATTTCACGCAATTTACTAGTAACGTTCAAGTAGTAATCTCGAGCCATTTACACCCTGGTCTTCTGTAACTCAAGTTGGGAATTTCTTGTTCCCCCCTGTATATACAAATCCCTTGGTTCCTTTAGCCCCCAAAATAAGATTCCTGCTCACAGGTGCACTAGCATGGTATCAGCATGGCATCAGCATGGCACCAGCATGGGGCGATGGCGAGGGTTTCCAACACAAGACCCCTACTTTGACGCCCACATTGCATAAATCGCTGCTATGCACCCTTGTCCCTTGCCAAAATGGCTTACTCTCCGCATACAACTGTGTGGTACCTTGCATTCTTCGACGATTTCCCTAGAGGATGCAGACTGCCCACGTGTTGGTGTAGCACTCTCTGTGCGCCGTCCTATCCGGTGAGATCGCCTCGTTCATCCTAGCCAGCGAGGACAAGATGCCGGTATAGCCATGGCAAGCCACGGCTACTCCGTATATCTATCCGATTTTGGTGCTGGCTGTGCTGTCGTGTGCCGCGTCAGCCCCCTGAGCAAATCCTTCAGCTCCCTGAGCAAATCCTTCAGCTCCCTGACTAGATCCTTCAGCTACCCCTACCTTATCATTGTCGCCTCCGTTGTATTTAAACCAGCTGGCTCGGGAATACTTGCCATATAGATATTTATTTGTAATTCTGCCATCGAGACTTTCATTTATTTTAAGCTATGTCTTTGGCATGAAATTATAATCTTCACGAGTACATGCCTCTCTAAGCTACAGGTGGTGGACATTCTTTTTTTTTTCCCTCCCAGCTCCTTTGGTACATAATCTTTACATTACTCCATCGTTTCCCGAGTATCTTCATTTTCTATTCACTTCACAACAATATGAGATTATCCACTGGGCTGGCCGCTGCAGCCTTTCTGCTGCACGGCGTACTAGCGATCTCTCCGGCGCAGGTTCAGCATGATCTTGGTGGTTGTCTTTCCAACACAACCACCATTTTCGATGCCAGTAGCACTGAGTATGCGAATGCGACGCATAGATGGGACACACTAGCTTCACCAAAGACACAAGTTATTATAGAAGTTGGAGAGGAATCCGACGTGGCCAAAATCGTATGTTATATATCCTTTGGGGGGGGGTCTCCCTCCCTGCCAAAACCTAGAGAAACAGTCACTGATCAAGAACCAACTTCAAAAATAGGTGAAATATTGTAACAAGAAGGGCATAAACTTTCTGGCATATAATACTGGCCATGGATCTACTGTGACGCTGAGCAGATTCGATGGCATTCAGATCAATCTTGTTAACCTCAATCAAGTCACCATCCAACCAGACGGCAACTCAGTTTGGGTACAAGGTGGCGTGCGCTCCGGGCCGGTCAACAGATTCCTCTGGGATAAGGGATATGTAACAGCCACAGGTGCCTGTGACTGCGTTGGTTTGGTTGGAGCCGCGCTCGGTGGCGGCCGTGGTCGTCTCCAAGGGCAATTTGGGATGGTATCTGACTCTGTTCGCCAGCTCAACGTCGTGCTGGCCGATGGGTCTCAGATCCGTGTTAACGCATCGAGTCATTCTGACCTTTTCTGGGCGATGCGAGGTGCCGGTCACAACTTCGGCATTGTTACCAGCATGGAAGTGAGCATTCATCCACGTGGGCCATCGACTTGGCACTACAAAAATTATCTTTGGACCAGCGACTATCTCAAACAAGTTTTTACCGCTATCAACACTCTGCACGCGACGCTTAAGAATGGCACCGACACTACGCCAATCAACCTGGGCAACGAGAATGGACTGTTTCTCTACCAATCGTCTGTTGATGCCAAGAGGCCTCTCATCTCTTGGCAGTTTTCCTACCGTGGATCTGCTGCCGATGCTGCCAAGGTTTTGGCGCCCTTTGATGCCATCCCTGCCGTGAGCACTGATTCCGGTGATGTGCCATATCCAGAAGTTGCGCACGCACAAAATGTTGGCGAGGACGACATTGCCTGCAGCAGCAGCTTAGCGAGACTCATCACGACCGCAGGATTGAGCACCTACAACCTGACAGCGGAGCAACTTATCATGGATTCATTTACTAAACGGATTGCTGAGGCCCCGCAGCTAGCACCCTTGACGTTTATTATTCATGAAGGGTACCCATCACAGGCTGTAACCGACAAGAACCCTGCTGACTCTGCTTTCCCTTTCCGCGCCGATTTTCATCTCACGCAATTTCAGGGTAACTTGGCCGCCAACGCAAGCATTCAAGATCAGCAACTCATGTTACAATGGTCCAATGAGGTTGTTAATATCTGGAATGCAGGCGAACCTGGCCGTCTTCCCGATGCTTATGTCAACTACGCCAGCGGCAACGAGCCCGTAGAGCAATGGTACGGCCATGAGACTTGGCGTATTGATAGGCTACGTGGCTTGAAGGCAAAATACGATCCCACGAATCAGTTCCGGTTCTATAACCCTATCATCTAATTTTCGTATAATCCTTTCTATAGATGTACATTACACGTTGTTCTCCTGATTAGTTTTCAGGTTCAGAGGATTTATTTTATTCTATAAACTCACCTTTTCTAAATAATTGAGAGATTATAACCAGCTTGAATGACTTTTCATTAGCTATTATTGACAGTAGTATGTAAACATAAACATAAGTTAAACCAAAAATAAGGCAATCGTTGGCCTGCACAGCAACTTTAAATTCTGTACCAATATTGTATGTAATACTAGAGATGAAATTTAGCTCAACTGACTAGTGAATAACCCGCTGCTGTTTATAATATGTGTATTTTGTCTTCTCGTATATATCTATTTGGTAACTTGACGTAGTAGCCCTGGGTAAGCTTCATGTACAATATGGACAGTTCAGCAGAACAAAGACTGCATTCAGAACATTTCATTCCCACAACATCTGATCAGAGAGATACGGCATTTCTCTTGTTTCTATATATATATGTATGTATATATATATATAAATTTTTTTTTAAAAAAAAAGAAGGAAAAGGAAAGGAAAGGGAAAAAAGAAAAGATTGCAAAACCTTATTTTTCAACGGCCTTTGCAAGATTGGCTAAGGCTTCACGGCGCTTCACGTGGCCGTCAAGCACAACCTCTACATCGAGGAGATACAGTTTCAGTACCATTCTTGACATTTGACATGGTCTTGCAATCGCTCACTTACCTGCACTTGCATCGCTGGAATAGTGCCCGCTCCACTGTACAAATGTTTGTCCCGCAGAGGATCCGCTTGTGATTGGGAACAGCCGGATCACACTCAGCACACTTGTGTAAGGAAGCCCCCACGGCTCACATTTCAAAATATTGAAGGACATGTAGTGCTTAATATTCTAGTCATCCCGTCAGCCAATTACTGCTCTAGGCGGATTTTATATTGGTTCAATCATACCGAATATTCCTCCTCCTGCACATCTAAGGTATACCCCTCATCGAACGTCCAGCGAATAATGTCTCTATCATCGTTCCCTCCAGCAGCAGGTGGAAGAATATCCGTATCTATAATGCCCTGGAAGAAGGTTCCGAACTCCTTGAGCCGAAGAAGTGGCCATATTGTGTCCAGAGGCGCATTAATCACAGCCGACTCTGTAACAGAGGTTGAAGTGAGCTTTTCAGTCGATTCCATTTGCTGTCAAGGTAAAAAGTCAGCCAACTCAAGAAACGGTTGTTGATGTCGATGTGATGACGCAATTATGTTGTGGTTGCGCAATTGTCAAGAAATTGCATCTCAAAATAGTATTAGTTTTGAATTATTATAACTAAATTCAATTGACTTGCTAATTCTCTTAAATTTGACTTTACTATTAATTTTCCGCCTTGTTTTATTTTTATTTTTTGTTTTCCGAGAGATCGAGTCCAAGTTTTGCACCGTCAACACCCTCAGCACCCTCAGCACCCTCAGCACCCTTCACCTCGCTCTTGCGCTACGATAGCCCTTATGTAAGCACGTCGACCTAAAGGCAACGTTTAGAAAAACCGCGTAGATAACTTGCTTTTTTCATGTATTTAGTGTTTTTGCGACTTTCTTAGTAGCTTACCAACCACTTACTTCTCCTTAGAGATACCAACAAAACAAGTACTTGATCACAACATTTCGTATGAGCCCAAGCGTCATATTCGTCCCGTCACAATGTCGCAGTTCACGCCGCCCTCAGAAGTCGAACTACGGGAATGGGCTACCGGGAAAGCCATCATAATCACTGGAGGTGCCCAGGGAATTGGATTTGGTGTGGCCCAACTGTTTGCGAATGCTGGCGCCAAAGTGGTGATTGCCGACATCGATGAAACTGTTGGCAAGCAAGCTCAGGAAAGTCTCGGAAGCAATTCCCTGTTTGTACGATGCAATGTAACGAGTTGGAAAGACCAAGTTCAGCTTTTTCAGACGGCGATTGCCAACTTTAATCGCATAGATTTGGTAATCAGTAATGCCGGCATCAATCCAGAGCTAGTACCGTCCAATGGCTCAAAGTATGATTATCTTGTCGACAAGTATCGCGACGGCGAGTCTGACAAACTAGAATCACTGGAGCCACCTATCACAAGTGTTTTTGACGTAAATATCACTGGTGTGCTCTACAACTTAAGACTGGCGATGCATCATATGATTGCTAATGGCGGTGGTCGGATCGTCGTCATGGGTTCCGCCGCGTCCTATATGGGCTTCGATGACCACGCACTCTACTGTGCTTCCAAACATGCCATCTTGGGACTTGTTAGAGCTACTTCTTTAAGGAAGGAATGCACAGACAACAACATTTCCGTCTCGGTCGTCGCACCCTGGGTGACACAGACAAGAATGACACAGGCCTTTATCGATCATTTACCGACGAGCATATCCATTTCCTCTCCCGGGGATGTAGCCGCAGCCATTGCTATTTCAGCAACGCAACCCATTGAAAAGATTCGTGGAAAGAGTATATGGGTTCAGGGAAAGACATATACAGAGGTGGAGGATGTTATTACCGCTTGCCAGGGAAAACTCATCCTATAGATGTGCTCCATGATAAGCTCCAGATATGATTCAGTTGATACTCAAATGTTCTAAACAATGATGACAAGCATACTATAATACATACGATTTTATGGAATAGTGCCATCAATTTTTCTTTTATTACTAGCTAGGTACGCTAAACAGATGTCCCACCAGAGAATTTACAACTCTTATGATTCAGAATCAAAATATATTCTAGTGCCGATAGCGCGATGATGCGTTATAAAGGGCCTTCTATGCAACAGCTCACGGCCTGCTAAGTGGAATAGGATTAATATAACATTGCTGCGGTGCGTGAACCAGTTTATCAACGGCACCATAGCCACTCAGCTCTTCCGGGCAGGCTTGAAAGTCGAATGACCAAATGAGTAAAGTGAGGAAGATCTTCATCTCTACATAAGCCATCTTCCGCCCGTAGCAGCCGCGCTCACCAAGGCTGAAGATCAAGAGCGGGCCAGCACTGTGATCAAATATGATCTGTCCATTCTCTTCAATAAGCCATCTCTCTGGATCAAAAACTGCCATTTTTGTGGGATCCCAATGGCAAGCCTGATCCTTGCCCTCCTGGGACGATGTGCTCCGCACCGCATCGTCAATTGGGAAAGCAGCAGAGAAGATACTAGGTCCATTACACATAAAGAACACCTCGGTGTCTTTAGGCACAAAGTGGCCAAGAATCTCGGTGTCTCGGATTGAGGTTCGAGTTACGGCTGCTTCAGTGAGCGAACAGCGAAAGATTTCCTCCACAACGGCATCGCGGTAGTGAACGGGGCTGTTGAGGATTTCTTGGTATGTTGGGAGTCGCTTCTCGGATACGGCGTTCGAGTGGGCGGTGTGTAGTGCCTTTCGCAGCTTCTTTTGCACATCTTGGTGGTCTGCCATGAATTTCAACGCCCACAGAATGGAAGTGGATGTGGTATCGTGGGCAGCGATCAAAAGACCAAGAATCTATAATACATTTTCATGGTCAGCTATAAATTGAGATATGTACCTCAGATCCTTTTATGTCTAGCAAGGGCAAGATTCCTTCACATACCTCGTCATATATATCACGAGAGTGAAAGTTCCTCTGGCGACCTTCCTTTTCAGCTGCCACTGCCTCTCGTCGCAAGAAATTGTCCACCGCGCACTGAACATCTGTCTTGGTATCAAATCTTCGTTCCGCGTCATTTACCTCTCTCTTGATGAATTCTTCCTTAATTTTAAAGGCACGTTTCATAGCCGATGTCTGTCTGTACATCCAATGTGCTAATGCTGGCATGGGTGACTTTAGACTAGCTTCTATACTTTGCGTAAGGGTCATGACGGATTGAACGGTCAATGGGCTGTCGGCACGCGGCAGTTCTACTGGCGAATTCGAATTTCCAGGCAATGCTATCTTTTCCATAGTGAGAAATAGGTCCAACTGTGCTTTAGTAGTGCTGTTTGCTGAGTCGTCTCCGAATATGAGGGCCCATATGGCATCCAGAGCTGCATAGTGCACATCTTTGATAACGCTAAAGGCGTGCCCGCTTGCGAGACGCGCCTTCTGTTCCCAGACATGGATGACATCTTGGCAGACGTTATGAATATGCATAGCAGCGACATTGTTAAGAAATACAGGGCTCATAATGTCTTGTATCAGGCGACGGTGCTGCTTGAATCGAGGTGTTGTTCTCATGAAGATGTGACTCTCTGGCATCACGCCACCGGCAACATCCTTGAACCAAACGGATTTGTCAAAATCCTTTGTGCGGCGCACTAGACAGTCATAGGACTCTCGAAAGTCAGAGACCACGATCCAAGGGTTGGAGAGTGGCCTGACAAAAACCTGTACTACAGGGGACTGAAGCTTGATATTTTGTTCAACCATCCATGCGTACATCTCTTGAGTCTTGGACGTGTACTCAACCATGGAAGTAGCATCTCCGAAGATGGACTTGACGGCATCCTTGTTGTATGGAATTCCAGGAATCGGCTTGGGTAATGCCCACCGGTAGCAGAGGTAAATAATGCCTGGTATACTAACAGACAATACCAAGTAGGAGGTTGTATCGCCGTCAACAAGGAATCGAGGAACGATGCTTTCCATGGCGTAGTTGACAGCTCAACGACTACAAAATTTTAACAAAAAATTTGGAATATTCCGAAGAGAAACACACAAAAACAAAACAAAAGGGGAAATAAAATAAGGAACCGTCTATTGCATAGCTATGCATGGGTAATGAGCACTTAAAAAAAGCTGATCCTATGGCTAAGTGTGGCTAAATGCTAATTTCAGCAGAAACTTCAAATACTTACTATACTATAGTATATTGCATACCAAAGATAATATATAATATATAAAATAAAATAATTAAAAACTAAACCACTATACATTATAAATGATAGGTTATGATAGGTATTACATTTCAGGGGATTTGATATTATAATTTAGTGATTGTAGTGCTACAATACAAGGGCTTAGCACTGTACGTTTTTTTTTTTTAACTTTTCATATTGCTAATTTACCAAGATAGGTAACTTAATAACAGCCACACGACCCAGTGTTTTTGGGTGCTTATTACCTAGGGACGACTATGCAATAGACGGTGCCTAAAATAGTTATTTCCAACCCTACTTTATTCAACGAGTGGGAATCCATTTAATCTCCACTACATCCACTATTAACACCATCTGCACCTCATACACCCCTCCAGCATTAGAAACCCACAGCTTTTAGTGCTGATGCACCGCAATCCAAACGAACCAACAAACAGGTATGACACCACTCCATATTAAGAGTCATATTCAATTTTTGATGACAGTGATGATACTTGAGGTTTGGTACTGGATTAGAGGAGGGAAGGTAGCTAGTATTCAGCCCTTAAAGTGGAAGCGGCGTTGTCACGGCCTAAACCAACGGAAGTACGTACTACAGTAAAACTATAGGTAAGCGCAACCAATAAGAGCCTAGTTCTCCCTTTTTTACGCAGGTACATACTATAAGAATTATAAAAATAGCTTTATTCTTACAAATATAATAATATAAGCCTAAATAAAAATAAAAAAACAACTAAATATATAAGTTTACTTTATTATAATTATTTAAATAGTTAAATAGTCAGTTATTAATAAAGTATTAAAATTAAATATAAACTATATTTTTTATTTTATTTTATATATTTATAATTATAACTATTTAAAAGCTATTTTTTATTCTCTTTATTAATATAAACCTATAACTTAGGTTTATTACTTTAAGAATCCTTACTTTATATTAAAAATAAAGATTAAAATATTATATATTAATAATTTTTATTTAAAAAAATATTAATTATTTTTTAAATAAAAAAAAATTACTATATTTAAATTATTTAATAATATTAATACTTTTATTATTAACTTTAAAACTTTTTAAATAAATAATAAAAGAAATATTATTATAAAAAATATTCTTAATATTATTAAATTATTTAAAAATAAAATTTTAATATTTATTTAAAATATATTTTAATTTAATAAAATATTTATAAATAAAATAAATATAAAAAACTTTAATAAAATTAAAAAAATTAATAAAAAAAAATAAGAAAATCTTAAAACTTAAGTATTTAAAACCTTTTATTAAAAAACCTAAAAAAATTAAACTTTTTATTATAAAACTTTAATATTATATTTAATATTTTTTATAAACTTTAATAAAAAAATTTATAAAAATTACTTTTATAGCTATTTATTTTAAAAATATTATAAAAAATTACTTTTAGTTTTTTTAAAAAGATTATAAAGTTAATAAACTAAATAAAAAAATAAATTATAAAATTATAAAAATATATAAAAATATTAAATTTTTTAAAAAATAAATTAATAAAATATTTATAAATATAAAAAAATAATATACTTTAGAAAATAAATTAATTAACTTAAAGTAAATAAAAAAATATATTACTTATATTATTAAATTTAATAAAATAACTATATAATTAAAATAAAATAATAAACCTTTAAAAAAAATATTTTATAATAGATTTTAATATAAAGTAAAAGAAAAAATTTATAAATACTAAAAAAAAAATACTACTTTAATAAAATTTTAATAAAAAGCAGTAAATTAAAATAATTTATTTTATAAACTTAAATTAAAAGAAATTATTATAAATTATAAAAATATTTAAAAATATAAAAACTTTAATTAT